GAGACTAACCAATTTATTTGAGCATAAGCTTTCATGAGCTACAGCTCACTTCATCGGATGCATTCAGTGGAAAATACAGTGAGGAGATTTATATACACACAGAACATGAAAAAATGGGTGCTATCGTACACACTGTAAGGAGAGTGATCACTTAAGATGAGCTATTATCCAGACTGTTGCAGAAAGCTTGCATGGTTTTTGTTGTTGTTATTGTAGTTGGACTTTTCCAGATCCTTGATGCCTTTAAAAAAAAGCAAACAAACCTTGAGCTTATAGCAATTTTGAGAAAATCAAATTCCATCTGTTTCTACTACAAGAAGGAAACTGAATAGTGAGGGAATCAAGAGGAATCTCCATTTGCTGAACACCATTCCAAGTAGCCTAGAGCAAGATGGCTTGTCATTCGTACCATTTTTAAAACAAAAACAAAAAAGTGCTTATTAACATCTACACATCAGACACTTACAAACGTTTTATGGCATATCCATTCTTCACTGACATGAAATCAATCTTTCATAATTTTAGACCTTGTACATGTGCAATTTTACATAGCTATTTACTATCAGTGTATGGTAAGAACCTGAGGGCCCAAACAAGATTGGAAGCCCATTGTGATGGGTATTATAAAAATAAACAGAGCTTTTGTCTCAAGGAGACTACAGACTAGACAAGACAGACATGGGAGTATGGTCCCCATTTTATACAAGGGGAACTGAGATACAGAGGTTAATTCCTATTTTGACCAGGGTTATAGTGACAGAACTATGAATGGAGCCCATGTGTAACCATCCAATGCCTGGACCAGAAGATTGTCTCAATATACAAATACACTTCTTCTCATGAAACAATTCAAATGGGCCAAAGCTCTCTTCCTGCTTACTATGGCACAAAACCCGCCTGCCTATGGCTGTAAATATGAAACACTGGAGAAGTTTTATTATGATGTTTTCAATTAGTCTTACATTGTTGGAAAAATTGGCATGAATGGAAAAAAATATTGTGTATGATGCAGTACAAGAAGAGACTTGGTCTCATGCTAACAGCACACAACACAATTATTTTTACTTGGAAGTGATTTGAATGTTATATTCACTTCCAGGGGAATTTCATTGTTATTTGGCATCAATTAACATAAAAAGAATGTGTTACATGGCTTATGTGGAGGCAGAAATATTTATCGTAAGTGTAAAATTATGCTTATTCATGATTAACTCTGATATTTATGTTGATATAATTTTTCCATTGTAACTAATTTAGCATTAATGAATGTTCAGATTAGCATCTCCTTAATGCTAATACATCAACAATGGGAATTACTAGGAATTTTACTCTTACAAATTTTAGTTGATGCATGTACTTGGGAATCACAGAGAGCTGGTCTTTTCAGAAAGTTGATGAAACAGCCTTTTCATATTCATATCCTGCCTTCCTAAAGGATATTTTGGCCTGATTCTCCATTGCACTCACTTTGTGTTTATGTAAATGACTGCATAAAGTGAAGAACAAAGTAGGTACGGCACACATTCTGTTATTTAGGTTCTCGTATAATCCTCCTCATTGTAGTATCTGAGCATTTTCCAAAAGTGCAGTGAGCAATGTGAGTAGCATCTGTCAGGTGTGGTTCTTTCTCTCATCCTCTCTCCAAAGAGAAATTCTATGGGCTTATTGTTGTTTTATTTATCATTTGATGTACAGTGAGCTGTGTGCTTATATTAGCAAAAACAAGGTTGAAGAAGCGCACCTTGCACTTGCCATAAGTGTTAGTGAAGTATGTGGTGGTTCTTCTATCAGGTCGGAATTCATTCCAGTCCTGGACTGGTCCACACAGAAGTTCCGTCTCCTGCTCACTCACTTTGCACTGAATATTCATCTATTAAAATTATTTCTGAAAAGCTGATCCTGGGCAAAACTTTGAAATTTATTCCAGTAAACGCCTATTGGCTCTGAGGGTATGATCTTAGATCTACTCGAGTTTATAGCATTCACATTTGCTTCAATAAGTTCAGGAAGAAACTGTAAAGTGTAAAATTATGTTCAAATGGGGCAAATTTGAGAATTTGGCTCAGATGGAAAAAATCAACATTTTCAGGGTGATATGCCATTTAGTGCCTGTAACAACCCATTTTAATTATTATATTACTCTTTTTGCTATGCTCCCAGCTCAGGTCAGACTCAAAAGTAAAGAATCAGGATGCTTATGTCCATACCTTTAATGTTGATGCAGAGTACAGGTACAGAGTATCATATAAGGAATATAAATGTCATCTGTATCTGTTGCCTTGTGCCATGGTGGTAGAATTGAAACTGAGACTTCATAAAGTTTTAGTTCTACATCTGGTTGAACAGGTAATGATGACTAGTTTATCCTACAAATAAAGTGCTTCATCTTGACAATGAATTGCCCATGAACAAACTGCTGTTTGGGGGTGGTTGCTTGCTATTCGGAATTGCCCAAAACATTAATTGAACAAACAAATTTCAGCCTCTGGGCAATCAGTGAACCTGATTGCAGTGGGCTGATTGCAGTGAAAGCCCTCCTCCCCCCCCCAAAAAAAAAAGGAAAGCACCTATCTGAAAATGTGGTGCTTATGCAAATAGTGCAGGCTCCCTATCTCCCCTGTACTACTTTTCTGGATTCTTAGGTCAAACTACTCCCCTAAAATACTAACTCCCCCCTTCCCCCCCCATACAGATGCTCCATCAGCATGTTCAAGGGTGTCCACCTAACTTGAATCCCTAGAGGCTAAATGGCCAAGCTATGTAGAAACAAAAATATAAAATGGAAGGGTAATTTTCAGTGGTCAAATAGTAGAAGATAATGTGCCAGATCCTGCCCTGTTACTACAATGTAAAGCATGCAAAACTTCAACAGAGGTGAAGATACAATAGTGTAAAATTGGTGAAAGGGGGAGTGGAATCAGGTCCAATATGTCAAAGGAAAGGGAAGAAAAGGGTAATGAATTAGAACATCCTATCAAGACAAGATTGTGACAGCTTGAATTATAGAGCAAACTATGCCTCTGGACAGAAAGGACCAGTACACAAAGAATAGAGTAAAGCACAGAAGAGCTCAAAAGAGGCAGCCTACCTTTGTGAAACAATATTTTAAATTGTGTTCTTGTAAAATTAAGGACAACAGAATAGAGAACCCATCCCATTGTCTCAAAATTAAGGATCTCATAGGGCTGCTCCCACATGGTCACTTCTAGTCTTAGTTCCACTATATGGGATCAGCCCTTCAAGTCAGTCTTCTCCATTCCAGTTGGTCTCAAAGCAGTTCCTCAAACTCCACAGCTAAAATCCTTTTGTATAACATCTATCCATTTAGTTTTGGGTCTTCCAGTCCTTCTCTTACCTGCTACCTCTAAATTTAACACCCTGTTTCCTATATATTCTTCCAGTCTCTCTTTCACATTCCCAAACCATCTAATCCTAGATTTCCTCAGCTTTTCTATCATCAGTAACTCTGTCACACTTCCTCTAATTTGTTCATTCCAAACATGGTTCATCCTTGCAGCTCCAAGCATCCATCTAACACTTTCATTTCCACTGCATTCAAGATCTGCTCCTCTCTCTTCCTTGGTACCTACCATTTGAGCTATACAAAAGCATTAGTCTTAGCTCTTACTTTTCAATTTGATAAGTGTTCTCCTATCACTTCATTTCACCCACTTCTCCCCATTTAGTTCATGCCTTTCTTGTTCTGCTTATAAGTTCATTGGTAAGTTCACTGTATCTGGTACCCGAACTTCTGTACTGTTTGCAGTGGCTCCCCTCCGCCCAACCTGACTTAATCTTGTTGTCTTCCCGCAAAGTATCACTGACTCTGCAGACTATATACTGTCTTATTTATGCTGATTTTCATGAAATGTCTTTCAATTATGCACATTTATCTCATCTTTCCATCTTCTTCCACTTCATCTTTGCTCTCCCCTAGGAGCGCTACATCATCTGCAAAAAGGCACCAGGGTACGACTTTCTGCATTTCTGTAAGTGCATGGAGCCCCAGCATGAACAAAAAAGGGGCTTAGTGCCAATCCTCGATGTATTTAGCCTCTTACTAGAAATGGAGTTGCTATAGTTTGATAGTGATGTGGGAATATGGTGTGGATAGGGTAAGTGACAGGATAATTTTGGTTGTTTGCTATTCAGTATGCCCCCCTAAATGTTGTTCATGCACATGGACTCCAAGTGGAATGTGATGAACAAGAAAAAGGATGTCTGGAGAGAAATAAACACCGTTTTACAGAAAGTGATGCAGAGCCCTCACTAGAGCTGACCTTAGTGGTCAGGTGGGAGGGACAGTAAATGCTTCAACATGCTTCAATATGCCATGGATATGGACATACCTTCCCCTTCCTTGTTCCTATCTTACAGTATGTCCAGACATATGGTTTAGTAGTTAATACATTTTTATTTCACAATGAAGGACTGGCTCTGCCTAAACCTCAAGTATCATCCCATGGATTGATTCAAATCTTAAATAGCTTTCTTTAAAAACTAAACAAGCCCAAAACCTCCTCATTACTTTCTTAGTAATTAAATCCATCCTTTCAAGGCATTGCATGGGGTTGGCATTCCCTTGGGCTCAAGCAGCTAAAACCTACTGCCATTCTTTTGAACAAGTACCCACAATCTCTTCCTTATTTACAAGATAAATAAGTAAACTAACTTCCTAGTACTAGAAAAAACTCAAATGTGAAGAGGATACAAAGGCCCAGATTCCACTTTCATATGAACATGTGGGATTCCACAAGACGTAAATTTGGCAGAACTTAACGCAATGTCAACTGAGAGTATGCTAATGCATTAACTTACCCACGTTACTTGACAAGAATTTCATTGATGCTAGAGGTGCTGATCTGGTTTGAGCTGAGAATCAGCCTGTTCCCCTGCAACAAGGTGGTTCAATATAGGCTCAGCTAGTGAGATATATTCTTGCTCCTCTCCTTGCTCCAGTTATTAACCCTCATACTCCTATTATTTCTACCAACTTTTAGGAGGATCAGCAGGTCTGGCAGCAATTCCCTTCTGGCCCCTACTGTGCCGCTCTGGGTGTCTGTTTCTGAAGTTGCTGCACGCAGACAACTTTTCTTCATGCCAACGTCTGTACCAATATGCAATGGCTGAAAAAGGCATCTGGACATTTTAGGTTAGTTGCATCTCTTAAAGTATTTTGTACCAAGTACTAAATGGTAAACCCTGGAGTACGGAAGACTGCATTATTATTTAATAGTATATTCTAATAGTGGTCGGTGGACTCAATCAAGATAGGTCACCATTCTAGGTGCTGTACAAACATAGAGGTAGACTCAGAGCTGGTCTTTATTTGATTTATCTAATCTTGCAAAGCAAATCAACAACAGAACCAAAGAATTCAGGAGCTTTCCCTCGTAATACTCTGCTCTAGCCACTAGGCAACATTCCCTGTCCTGTGCAATATCTTACCGTTGTCTACTGCAGTTTAAAGTTGATGCAGAAAGATATCTTTTTTTGACACACACATTCTTCTCATTAGTCTCTTCAGGAGCAGGGCTACACAAAAAGTCACTAGTGACCATTCTGCCCTGAAATCAGTACTGTGCCATGAACTAATGATATCCTTTACTGTAGCTAGTCATTGTGAGGATGAAGCAGTTTTGCCTTTGTTCAGTGTAACCTGCAGAGAAGTGAATTGTAAACTCACCAAATGCTAGATTTACTAAATGGGCCTTTTATTTCCCTTGAAATGGGATCCATCTGCAATACAGGATATTTCAGGTAACAGATATTTAACCTTCTGTATACTTAGCTTTGATCTCATTGCACAATAAATGCACACTTCTCTGATAGAGCAGAACAAAATGAAACAGGCAGGCTCTGTCTTTACAAACTTAGAATCTAAAGCAAGAGCTAAGATGTTTAAAATAAATAACACAAGCCTCACATTTTAAGTTACCTGAATGGTGTAACACAGTCCAGTAAAAGCCAGGGAAATGAATATTAAGGCTACTGCTCCATCCTTGACAATTGATAAACCAGTTGACACATGAGGTTCTTGATTTAATCAGTAAACACATCCCCCCTGTGCAACCTCTCTACTCACCATAAAAATATCCCCATGCACTACCATTTTTCTCCCATAAAGATTCTTATGTTACTCTGTCACTGCAAAGAATGAGTTCATGCACTAATCTCACACTTCACATTTGCAGTCAAATTCCCACCTGTAGATACTGCCTCCCAGGCCTTCCCTGTTTTTTCCCCTCATACATGTTGTGCTCCATTAGAAACTTCCACAGGATTCTCCTACACCCTTTGTGGAGATCCACCATCTTCAATGGGTTATAGGTTTGACCTTAAGAGATGCCAATCGGCTCTTTCCATTGACTTCAATGTGTTTTGGATCAGGTTATTAGAGCCCCCAACGATCCATAAAAACTCAATCTTTTCCCCTTGTTTCCCTCAGAAATTAAGGGCTGTTTTCCTTGGAGGCTGAAGTTCCTTTTGAACAGAACAAATGCGCTTTCCGTTAAAACAACATTTCAGGTGAATTACAAGAGTTGGATTCCTTTCCAATTTCTAATATTCCTGGTGTGAAAAATATAAGGAAATACTGTGGCTTTTATTTGATGATTTTATATAATCATATGAAAGTGTGGTGCGTTATGATTTATTGTCATGATTTGGGGATGATTGCATGACTAATGAGTGGTGAAGTCATTAGTCCTCCCAAATGAGAGCCAATAAAACCTTTTACAGTACACACAGCTGTGTGTTCTGTATATGCAACTTAGGTTAAAGACAAACTATTTTAGGCATGTTTTAGAGTTGTAAAATGTTTTTATTAGGATTAATTTTCATAGTCCTTAGCTTGTAAAGCTAGGTGCTTTAGTTACCAGAGTTGAACTTTATAGACCTATGAGGGAAAGGAATAAATATAGCTGACCTAAATGAGCTTTGTATATAAACATGTCATAACCTTAAAGTCCAGTGTCTCCAGAATGTACAGAACTATATACAAATGCAAGCTTCTCCACTGGAAAGCTGGGTGCTGTGGGGAGCCTGGCCGATGGCACGATTTGGCAGGCATATGCAACAGATGTAGTCAGCACTCCTTCCAGTGCAGGTCAGCTCTGCCTTTTGTCCTCCCTATGCCTGTAGCTACCTATATAGGTGAACGAAGCTGGTATAGATCTTCACACACTCCCTGCAGTGCATCTCTGCTGGAATGGCCACAAATTAGCCCCTTATGTTACTGATGAGTTTGCCCCTTTGTGGGGAAAATATATAGGAAGCAAGTAAAGAGCAGGAATACTTCTCCACAGCTGCTTAGAGTTTTCTCCAAAAACATTTAGTCAAAGAATGGCAAGTGCCTCTCCTCAGCCCTCCAGAATAGGTCATTGATATGGTTCCCAAATCTCATGGATTCCTCAGGCTGCACATACATCCAAGAGATCAGTGAGAAGCAGGGCTCATCCACGTGGAAATTATGTGCCACAATGCTCCTGCTGGTTCACCAACTGTGCCACTCCCTAACAGTACATATCCAGCGTGGATGTGCTGCCTGGATTTTCCCCAGATGGTGACTCCCTTTCCAGTTGGAGGAAAAATGTGGCCTGCACACTCGCCCTCCACCCCTGCACTGCTCGTGCCCTCCTTACTTGTGCACCCCAGGGCCATGAAGCACCCTCCCCAGGTTCCAGAGAACAGGAGGATGCCATCTAAGAAGCTGCTGAGTCCAATTTCTACTCAGGAGGGGAGATTTATGTGCACAGAATCACAGGCATGATTAGGGTGACCAGACAGCAAGTGTGAAAAATCGGGACAGAGGGTGGGGGGTAACAGGCTTCTATATAAGAAAAAGCCTGAAATATCGGGAATGTCCCTATAAAATCGTTACATCTGGTCGCCCTAGGCATGATCCAGCCTTACATTACCTAACAAAGTGGAATGACTCTAAGGTGTGTGTGTGTGTAGTAAAAATAGTTCATTCTGTATTAATCACTGCACATGCAGACAAGGCTGCTTTTCAGTGTTTTAGCCCTGGTCTACACTAGGACTTTAGGTCAAATTTAGCAGCGTTAAATCGATGTAAACCTGCACCCGTCCACACAATGAAGCCCTTTATTTCGACTTAAAGGGCTCTTAAAATCGATTTCCTTACTCCACCCCTGACAAGTGGATTAGCGCTTAAATCGACCTTGCCAGCTCGAATTTGGGGTACTGTGGACACAATTCGATGGTATTGGCCTCCGGGAGCTATCCCAGAGTGCTCCATTATGACCGCTCTGGACAGCACTCTCAACTCAGATGCACTGGCCAGGTAGACAGGAAAAGAACCGCGAACTTTTGAATCTCATTTCCTGTTTGGCCAGCGTGGCAAGCTGCAGGTGACCATGCAGAGCTCATCAGCGTAGGTGACCATGATGGAGTCCCAGAATCGCAAAAGAGCTCCAGCATGGACCGAACGGGAGGTACGGGATCTGATCGCTGTTTGGGGAGAGGAATCCGTGCTATCAGAACTCTGTTCCAGTTTTCGAAATGCCAAAACCTTTGTCAAAATCTCCCAGGGCATGAAGGACAGAGGCCATAACAGGGACCCGAAGCAGTGCCGCGTGAAACTGAAGGAGCTGAGGCAAGCCTACCAGAAAACCAGAGAGGCGAACAGCCGCTCCGGGTCAGAGCCCCAAACATGCCGCTTCTATGATGAGCTGCATGCCATTTTAGGGGGTTCAGCCACCACTACCCCAGCCGTGTTGTTTGACTCCTTCAATGGAGATGGAGTCAATACGGAAGCAGGTTTTGGGGACGAAGAAGATGATGATGAGGAGGAGGTTGTAGATAGCTCACAGCAAGCAAGCGGAGAAACCGGTTTTCCCGACAGCTAGGAACTGTTTCTCACCCTGGACCTGGAGCCAGTACCCCCCGAACCCACCCAAGGCTGCCTCCTGGACCCAGCAGGCGGAGAAGGGACCTCTGGTGAGTGTACCTTTTAAAATACTATACATGGTTTAAAAGCAAGCATGTGAAAGGATTACTTTGCCCTGGCATTTGCGGTTCTCCTAGATGTAGTCCTAAAGCCTTTGCAAAAGGTTTCTGGGGAGGGCAGCCTTATTGCGTCCTTCATGGTAGGACACTTTACCACTCCAGGCCAGTAACACGTACTCGGGAATCATTGTAGAACAAAGCATTGCAGTGTATGTTTGCTGGCATTCAAACAACATCTGTTCTTTATCTCTCTGTGTTATCCTCAGGAGAGTGAGATATAATTCATGGTCACCTGGTTGAAATAGAGTGCTTTTCTTCAGGGGACACTCAGAGGAGCCCATTCCTGCTGGGCTGTTTGCCTGTGGCTAAACAGAAATGTTCCCCGCTGTTAGCCACAGGGAGGGGGGAAGGTTGAGGGGGCAGTCACGCGGTGGGAGGAGGCAAAATGCGACCTTGTAACGAAAGCACATGTGCTATGTATGTAATGTTAACAGCAAGGTTTACCCTGAAAGAGTGTAGCCACTGTTTTATAAAATGTGTCTTTTTAAATACCGCTGTCCCTTTTTTTTTCTCCACCAGCTGCATGTGTTTCAATGATCACAGGATCTTCTCCTTCCCAGAGGCTAGTGAAGCTTAGAAAGAAAAAAAAAACGCACTCGCGATGAAATGTTCTCCGAGCTCATGCTGTCCTCCCACACTGACAGAGCACAGACGAATGCGTGGAGGCAAATAATGTCAGAGTGCAGGAAAGCACAAAATGACCGGGAGGAGAGGTGGCGGGCTGAAGACAGGGCTGAAGCTCAAATGTGGCGGCAGCGTGATGAGAGGAGGCAGGATTCAATGCTGAGGCTGCTGCAGGACCAAACCAGTATGCTCCAGTGTATGGTTGAGCTGCAGCAAAGGCAGCTGGAGCACAGACTGCCACTGCAGCTCCTCTGTAACCAACCGCCCTCCTCACCAAGTTCCATAGCCTCCACACCCAGACGCCCAAGAACGCGGTGGGGGGTCCTCCGGCCAACCAGCCACTCCACCACAGAGGATTGCCCCCCCCCCTAAAAAAAGGCTGTCATTCAATAAATTTTAAAGTTGTAAACTTTTAAAGTGCTGTGTGGCATTTTCCTTCCCTCCTCCACCACCCCTCCTGGGCTACCTTGGTAGTCATCCCCCTATTTGTGTGATGAATGAATAACGAATGCATGAATGTGAAGCAACAATGACTTTATTGCCTCTGCAAGCGGTGATTGAAGGGAAGAGGGGAGGGTGGTTAGCTTACAGGGAAGTAGAGTGAACCAAGGGGTGGGGGGTTTCATCAAGGAGAAACAAACAGAACTTTCACACCGTAGCCTGGCCAGTCATGAAACTGGTTTTCAAAGCTTCTCTGATGCGTACCGCGCCCTCCTGTGCTCTTCTAACCACCTGGTGTCTGGCTGCGCGTAACCAGCAGCCAGGCGATTTGCCTCAACCTCCCACCCCGCCATAAACGTCTCCCCCTTACTCTCACAGATATTGTGGAGCACACAGCAAGCAGTAATAACAGTGGGAATATTGGTTTCGCTGAGGTCTAAGCAAGTCAGTAAACTGCGCCAGCGCGCCTTTAAACGTCCAAATACACATTCTACCACCATTCTGCACTTGCTCAGCCTGTAGTTGAACAGCTCCTGACTACTGTCCAGGCTGCCTGTGTACGGCTTCATGAGCCATGGCATTAAGGGGTAGGCTGGGTCCCCAAGGATACATATAGGCATTTCAACATCCCCAACAGTTATTTTCTGTTCTGGGAATAAAGTCCCTTCCTGCAGCTTTTGAAACAGACCAGAGTTCCTGAAGATGCGAGCATCATGCACCTTTCCCGGCCATCCCACGTTGATGTTGGTGAAACGTCCCTTGTGATCCACCAGAGCTTGCAGCACTATTGAAAAGTACCCCTTGCGGTTTATGTACTCGGCGGCTTGGTGCTCCGGTGCCAAGATAGGGATATGGGTTCCGTCTATAGCCCCACCACAGTTAGGGAATCCCATTGCAGCAAAGCCATCCACTATGACCTGCACATTTCCCAGGGTCACTACCCTTGATATCAGCAGATCTTTGATTGCGTGGGCTACTTGCATCACAGCAGCCCCACAGTAGATTTGCCCACTCCAAATTGATTCCCAACTGACCGGTAGCTGTCTGGCATTGCAAGCTTCCACAGGGCTATCGCCACTCGCTTCTCAACTGTGAGGGCTGCTCTCATCTTGGTATTCATGCGCCTCAGGGCAGGGAAAAGCAAGTCACAAAGTTCCATGAAAGTGCCCTTACGCATGCGAAAGTTTCGCAGCCACTGGGAATCGTCCCAGACCTGCAACACTATGCGGTCCCACCAGTCTGTGCTTGTTTCCCGAGCCCAGAATCGGCGTTCCACAGCATGAACCTGCCCCATTAGCACCATGATGCATGCATTGGTAGGGCCCATGCTTTCAGAGAAATCTGTGTCCATGTCCTGATCACTCAAGTGACCGCGCTGACGTCGCCTCCTCGCCCAGTATCGCTTTGCCAGGTTGCGGTGCTGCATATACTGCTGGATAATGCGTGTGGTGTTTAATGTGCTCCTAATTGCCAAAGTGAGCTGAGCGTCCTCCATGCTTGCCTTGGTATGGCGTCCGCACAAAAAAAAGGCGCGGAACGATTGTCTGCCGTTGCTCTGACGGAGGGAGGGGTGACTGACGACACGGCTTACAGGGTTGGCTTCAGGGAGCTAAAATCAACAAAGGGGGTGTCTTTATATCAAGGAGTATTTCAGGCAGGACTTCACAGAGGGTTCCAATAAGAAATGGTGCACCTAAGTTATCGTTCTTATTGGAACAAGGAGGTTAGCCTGGCCTCTGATTGATACATGGCTAGATTTACCTCGCTGCACCTTCTCTGTGAGTGACTGCAGTGTGACCTAGAAGAATGAGTCCCCTAGACGGGGGAGAGGGGGAAGCAAATGAATACAGAACAAATCTGGTCTATTTCTTCTTCTGATCCACTCCATCTATCTTTTACATCTTTGACTGGCAGCAGACGGTGCAGAAGGACTGCATGCCATCCACATCTCATGGCTGCTCGGCAGAAGATGGTACAGTACGACTGCTAGCCATCCTCATCTCTTGCCTGCCTGGCAGAAGATGGTACAATACGACTGCTAGCAATCCTCATCTCCTGCCTGCCTGGCAGAAGATGGTACAGTACGACTGCTAGCAGTCCGTATCGCCTGCCCGCTCACCATAAGACGGTTCAATAGGACTGACTGCAGGACTAAAGAGAATGACCTGGTCAAGTCACTCCAAATTTAGTCCCTGTGCCCATGTCTGTCTAGGCGCTCCCAGCCGACGTGGCCAGGAGCACCTCGGACATGATGATGACGGCTACCAGTCGTACTGTACCATCTGCTACCACAAGGCAAGGGGTTGCTGCTACTGTGTAGCAATGCCGTACCGCGTCTGCCAGCACCCAGGAGTCATAGGGTGACGGTTACCTGAGCGGGCTCCATGCTTGCCGTGGTATGGCGTCTGCACAGGTAACTCAGGAAAAAAGGCGCGAAACGATTGTCTGCCCTTGCTTTCACGGAGGGAGGGAGGGAACAGGGGGCCTGACGATATGTACCCAGAACCACCCGCGACAATGTTTTAGCCCCATCAGGCATTGGGATCTCAACCCAGAATTCCAATGGGCAGCGGAGACTGCAGGAACTGTGGGATAGCTACCCACAGTGCAACGCTCCAGAAGTCGACTCTAGCCTCGGTACTGTGGAAGCGCTCTGCCGAGTTAATGCACTTAATGCACTTAGAGCATTTTCTGTGGGGACACACACACTCAAATATATAAAACCGATTTCTAAAAAAACGACTTCTATAAATTCGACCTTATTCCGTAGTGTAGACATACCCTAATACACTTCTATAAACTTTCCCATTCCCTGAAAGAGATGATCAATTACTTTGTCTTATCTGTGATCAATCACTTGCCAAATTCTATTTCTAAAGCCAAAGGTATTTTTGATTTAAACAGGCTGACAAAGACACATTTTTGGCAAAGAAAACAGATTGTGTGAAATTTCTAGCACAACTCTATTTCAATTGAAATTGTCATTGGAATCTCTTTGTAGGCTTCAGTAGTTTAAGCAGCTATGCTAGCAGAGTTTATACCCTCTGAACCAAGGTTTTTTGCTTTACAGAGTTTACAAGTTCCTATTTAGACTATTTCCTCAATTATAAACTTCCCAGAACTATCAGGAAGGTTGTAAACTCCAAAGAGGGCTGATAGGTTCAACTGTTCCTTGAAACTATCTTCAGAATTAACAAGTCAACAAGTCTAATAGGCCTACACCTTCATTAAGGACAAAAGAATAAAATAAATGTAGAATTTCTATAATCAGTCACTTTAAAGATGTGATGTTTCAAGTACATTAAGTATTTTAAAATGTGAAACATGTCATTTTTCAAACCTTCATACTGATCACCTCATTCATACCATACTTTTCTAAAATTTTCCTCTCTGCCAAGAAATCAGATATACAATGTTTCATGGTGAGGGATGGGGGGGAGAAGCTGTTTTGGGTTTCTTTAATTTTAGACCTCGAGATAGATAAAGCTGGAAGTGCTCTCATTGTCTTGTTATTGCCAACCTCAAGCATTCAAAAATCATGAGTGGCTTCAAAATAAGTTGTTGGGTTTTTTTTTAATGTATTTATTTATTTTAAAGGAGCAAATTTGGGGTTCTTATTTGCCTTCTGGTTTTTGGTTTTAGCGGTCATGTTTTCAAGCTTTTCTCTGCAGCCAGGCTGACTAGACACTTAGGCTATGTCTACACTTAAACGTGGGGGTATGATTCCCAGATCACATAGACATGCTTGCACTGCCTCTCATCAAGCCAACGTACTAAAAAATAGTGGAGCTGCAGTAGCACAGGCCAGCTTCCCTGAGTACATACACATCTGGACCCTGTGGGTATGTGCTCTGAGTGGCTAACCTGTGCTCGCTGCTGTCCCTACTACCATGGCTATCCTGCTGTTTTTAGCATGTTAACTCAATGAAAGCTAGAATGAGTAGGTCTACACAAGCGGGGAATCTTTGTCCTAGCTCCCAGTGCAGATGAAGCCTATCTTCAGTTAAAATGAATGCAGATGTTCTCATGAATTCACCTGATGCCGAGGATGGGGCTTTAAGAAAAAACACCCTCATACCCTAGTTATCTCTCATAGAAGAACACAACATGCTTCCTTATCAAATCTTCAGATGCCTAAGGCCATGTACAAAACTGCAGATGCAATTGAAAGCCTAATTTTTGTGCATAATTAATATAGCTGAGTACACAAACAACAAATCTCCTTGATCATTGGACCTCATTTGCACACAGCTGGGCGTCTGCTGTTATGAATTTCAGATGTACACGTTCCACAGATGCTCTCTCATTGCCTGTAGCATTTTCAAGACTTCTCACAGACCTTATCACATTCAGGGAGACTCACAGGGCTCAAAGAAATTTAAAACATTTCAATCTCACAAATTCAACCTTTTCCACCTAGCTTTATTGTTGGCACTAGAACTCCAGAAGCAACATCATAAATATATTTTTAAACCAAATAGCACAGCCTGAAGAACGGGATGGTTCATAATGAGAACCATCCCCAAAGTGGCCCTCTGAGGCATTGTGCCTCAGTGGCATCCCTCTGAGATAATTCCTTGCCAGCTCTCACCTTGCTGCTGGTATGTCCAACACTTCCTGTGCTGGCTTCTCTATGCTAGTCAGTATGGTGAGGGTAGGCAGACTCTGCCCACTCACCCTCCACCTATCCCTGGAAGGTGGGGTGTGTTACTCCCTGCCCCTTCCTCTCCTGTGTGGGCATGTAATCAAAGTCCCGATCTAGCCTTTAATGTCCTCTTGTTTAAATATGTCCTCTCAGAACAACCTCACACTCTTTCTCCCCCCGCCCCCCGGAGAGAGGGATGCTAACAGTCAGCATGAAGGATTTTTTTCCCCTTCCCCAATCCTGATAGATGAGGGTTAAATTAATCTCATC